TAGTGGCTTTATAACCTTACTTGGAGTGAAATGATTAAAAAAAAAAATCTCTTACTTCAGGTTAAACTTTATTATTCCAAGAAGTGTTTTGGATATTGAACCTATTCTGTGACTTTTCTTTGTTACTCCTGAAGGTAGCTGAAGAAGGGACCTACCAAACTTTTGTAGTAACAGAAAAAGTTAGCACAAGGAATTATCATTCCAAACAACTTTTGAGTTATCTCAAAATTATAGAAAGCTGAAAAAAATATGACAGGTTTAATATAATAATTAGTGGCTTGTTGCTGGATGTTTCCTATGAGAAACTGCATAAACTGGAAATGAACAATTTCTTTTAAAAATTTTTATTTACCATAAAAGCATTTTTGGTGTGTAGGGGGTCTGGATGCAACTCAAGAGGAAAAGATTTAACAATTGCAAACTGATAACTCTGAACAGATCCCCCACTAAATTTGTAGGTCTTCAGATCTATATCTTTGCCCTATCTCCAGACAATGGTGCTTTTTACTTTCTGGCTCTCGGCTGCATAACAGTTAATGCCCCTAGGTTTGAATGCCACTTCATCTACTGCTACAACATCTTTTAAATACGAAAATGGAGGAATTCAAGTACTTTATTTCACACTGATTCCTGAAATCATTACTCAAATAGTTATGCCTTTCATTCATTCTTAGCGATCTGTTTTACGTACTGTGAGACAGAGGTTAAAAATCAATTATGGATTCTCCTAAGTGCCAAATTGATGACCACATCTATAGAGACTTCCTATTCTCATACATTAGAAACCATCTTCCAAGGTCATATTGCATTGGATGTCTTGATCTAATAGAGGAACTATATATTGGTTCACAAAGTTGTACATGTCTGGGGAAGACTTCAATACTGAAACATTTCAAACCTTATCAAGTGTGCAAGGAGATGAAAATGAGATCTCAAATCGATTTAATCTCTTCCTAGCCTATCACCTGTACATATACAAGCACAGATATGAAGAGATAGGCACTGATCATTTAATCATTCCATACCATATCCCAAACAAGTCTGCAAATAGAAAACAACATTCCTGTTTTCACTCCTAAGTACTGATGGTGAGTGGGGCTATGCTGATGACATTGGTATTCACAGTTGGGATAAGAATGATCTTGAACAACAAAAAAAATCAGCATCCTCTATCAAATGTTCCAAGAAATAGGACTCAAGATAAACCTTTCAGGAACTATGATCTGGAATTGGAATGAAAGTAGTGATGTCACCTACCCTGAATCATTTAATAATAGAACCGTTCAGCCTGTAGTGTCTTCACTTTATAACAGAATAATGTTTCTATTTACAAGTTACAAATGTAGCCAATAATTTATGCAACCCTAAAAATTGCAAGTTTTACTTAATATTTTAACAAAAAAGTTAAGCAATCTGAAGTATTGACAAGGATTCTGCATTGATTTTTAATCCTTATTTTTGCTTCATGATATTTTAACTGGCACAGAATAACTATATCGGAGTTGTAATAAAAAAATAATAAAAATAAAATGAAAGAAAAACAACTTCTTAATTTATGCGCCATGTCCCTTCCTGATGTGGGTGGTTCATGGCTCTCCACAATTTCTTATCTTTTGTAGCTCTAAGCAATGTTTGTCTTATTACTATCCTTCCCAGTTCATATTGTATCATCCATTTACATAAGTTTGTTAGATTTATTATTACTTGCTGGTACCTTCTGCCTCTCAATATGTCCTGTGAGTGTCAACTTCTCCAAGCCCCCTTTCCTCAGTATGTGTCCAAGGAATTTCAACTGTTTCTGAATACATGTGTCTTTTTGTTTATATTTTCCTTGAAAATTCCTTGTTGTGTATATGTTCCAGCCATGTTATTCTCAGCATCCTTCTGTAGCACCAAATCTCTGTTACCTCAAGTCTCTTCTTTATCTATGCAGAAATTTTCCAGCATTCACTACCATGTAGGAAGATTGATATTACATAGCAATTCAGCACTCTTTTCTTAGTTTCTAATGAAATTTTCCTGTTTCTGAATATTTTTAGTTTACTACTAGGTGTAAATAAGTAAGAGAAATAAAATTTAAAAAAAAAGGTTAATCGAATATGAACAATCATGACATTTCATATAAGAAAGTCGTTAAACTTAAAACTATGATGTCTGTTACTTCTACTAGATGTAAGCAAGCAACAAAATTGCTTAATGAAAAAATTCATAGACAATAATAAATTATTTGATGTTTTTCTAATTTGTTGTCATAAAACAGCATCATTTCCATAACATTCCGAGATATAACTCCAGTATTCACTTGGTCGTGCTAGTTACTGGATTTAATGACATATCAACCCTTACTGAGTTATTTAATATCAAAATCTGTTCAATATGTCGACATTGCTAGTATTCATATTTGAGACAGTAGGTTGACATTGCTAGTATTCATACTTGAGACAGTAGGTCGACATTGCTAATATTCATACTTGAGACAGTAGGTCGACATTGCTAGTATTCATACTTGAGACAGTAGGTCGACATTGTTAGTATTCATACTTGAGACAGTAGGTCGACATTGTTAGTATTCATACTTGAGACAGTAGGTCGACATTGCTAGTATTCATACTTGAGATTAAGCCGGCATAGCTAGTATTCATACTTGGGCTGCTAGGTTAACATTGGTTATTCATTTCAGTCTGCAAGCATCACTCTTGGAGGTGGCTCCTTTTTGAAAGTGACTTATCCTCTGCAGGGGATGCAGTTGCTGCATTGTAGGCCAGGCTGACAGGACCAGATTCATTTTGGAGAAATTGGTCGGGGGAAGCAAAAACACACGTGAATGTGGCAGGCAGCAAATGATCAAATATACTTTTACTTTTCTACAGAAAAAGATTTCTTGTTGGGATGAGAAAGCCAAAAAAGCATCTTATGAAATTTTATACAAAATGAAAAAAGAAAAAAGAAGTAATCAAAGTCTTTCATGTTTGCTTTTATTTTTCTCTTAACTAGAATCTAATCTACTAGAAACGGCTGCTTTTCATCTGCCCAATTTAAGATAAATGCACTAATTTTATGCTGCTCATACTATTTGCTTTGATGTTTTGGGCCGGTGCAGAAAACAGGTTTTGGCATCAATGCAGGAAGCATACTATTCAGAACATCTGGCACTTTCCTTGCAATCATTTCGGCTTTCAAAAGAGAAATGAAAACTATCATTTTTTTTTTTTTATTTATTACACTGAAGATACAATGCAGAAAACAATGTCTCTCCATCTTAATTCAAGGAATACTGAATGCCTAATCAAATTATCAACCAATATATTTGAAGCAACAGAATTTTAAAAATCTCTCAATTCTTCAGAATTATGTAAGAAGGATTTTTTTTAATCCATTTTAACTGATGAGAGATGTACAATGTAAATGGAATTACTTTAGAGCGGTTTCTTAGTAATGATATTTCATCACAGCTAAAAATAGAAAACCTTTCTCTTCTTTTACCACCAAAATTTGTGTGATACTAGAATTTGTGTTCTCTTAGCCACTGGACAAGGCAGTAAGACTTTTGATTCCCCGACAACAAAACCAAGAAAAACCAGTCTCTGAATGTCATTAATGGTTACACAGTTTAACCCTCAAAAGAATTTGGGACTGATACATTCAAGTAAGTTAAACAAAAGAAAAAAAAAAACATAATGCAAACAAATAATCATAATACTAAAAATATTTCTGTACTGTGTCACATATCAGAATTTGACACACACCAAATCAAACATGTCTAAATTTATTACCAACATAAAATTAAATAAAATTGAATAACGTCTGAGCTCAATATCCTTTTTTTTTCTGTTATATGTTTTTCCAAGCCATTCATTGTTAGCATTAATCAGAAGATTACTCTTCTACAATTTGGAGTTAGATATTTAAAGCTACAGTAACTTATTATACTTTCTTTTCATTTTACTACTACAACAAAAAACCCCACATATAATAGTAGTAAACCCCTTAATTTGCAGCAGTGGTGACATGCATTACCAATTACTTCAACTTCTTTCTATGAGAGCATTTTAAGAGGAAGAAAAATTGTAGCTTATCAATAACACATATTAGTAAAAAGCTGCTTGACTTTGTATTATTGATACTGATGCAGAGATACAGAAAGCGATTATCTCCCTTTGGTGGAGATAAGTCACATTGGTCACTTAATGGTTGCTTAGTGACATCACTTCATACAGTGACAAAAGTGGCCAGTCATTCAGTCAATAAGCTTATTGGTTTCAAGACACATGTGTTTGTTCGTCCTGCCCAGGCTTTTGCCTGGGGCAACCAGCTGCCAAATTCTACAGCTTAACAAGTCCATGGTGCTGTTTCTCTTTGGGAATATATTTTTCCGGCTATAAAATGAAACTTCAGCTCATAATCTTCAATTTGGAAAAACCCAAGACTCGCCATTTTCCCTTTGTGGAATATGTCCACAGTGGAACATAGATAAATCCAGCCTGTTTGAATTTGGAGTCCTAAACATGGCTTCTCCAGAAATGGAAGAATCTCCATATTATATGTAAGACCCTTCCTTTTTGTTTCTCCTTACACTCTGCTTGCTGTGTAGATATATGTGATATATTATTCTCCATATGGGACACATACATATATAGCTTTGTGTATGTCTTAGTAATGTAAAAGTCTCTCTGAGAACAAAGCATGTTTGTCATTCCTTTTCCTTTCAGCTCTTTTGTTTTGTCCATGAAATACGGTGTAATATAATAATGCCCATAATGGAGGGAAATGTAAATGGAAAAATAAACCTTTCTTCCAATCTCTCCTGTTACACTGATATTTAATATGTATTAATTATGGTTACCAAATGTTCAGATAATATTCATTTGGTATTTTGGGGAATATTTACATGCTTAACTATTATATCTGTGGTTACATATTATATTCACATCATCAGTTATTTGAAAGCTAATGCTATATTTGATGCTATGACCTTTTAATGATGACACTGAGATGTTTGCTTATGGCCATATCATGCTGAAACATTGGTTCCTGTACAATCACTGAAATTAAGCAATGTTGAGCCTGGTCAGTACCTAGATGGGGGACCACTTGGAAATGCCAGGTGCTGTAAACTTGGATGCATGGGTGGTGTAATGGTTAATGGCTGAGTTCCAATTCCAGTTGGTTTAGTTAAATTCACCTATGTGAAAATACCCTTGGGAAAGGTATGAATCCACCTTTTCTCCCCCATCTATGGGTTAATTAGTAAAACTTGTATAACTAAACCATTATTATCTCCAAAAAGAATTCTTACAATCTGGCTTTAAATTACCTACAAAGAGTTGATAAGCCATAGAAAATGAATGAATCAATCAATTTGAGATGTTAGACCATGGGTGGTACAAGTTAATTCCTTTCAGCCAAATGATGTTGATATTTTCAGATATTTCCCAAATAGGCTGAATGTCTTTTATTCTAAGACTTGTTAATGTTAATACTGTGATGTTATAAGTTTGGGGGTTACAAATTAATTCCTTTTAGTCAAACGATATTTGTACTTTCAGACGTTTTCCCAATATATAGTACTTTTTAATACTAAGACTTGTTAAGGTAACAATGAAATGTCATACATTTGGGGGTGATACTGTTTTCACTGCTGAGTAAGGAAGGCCAATACCAATTTTCACTTGAAGGTTTTGGAATCAGTGTATATTAAGTCCTACCAGCCATCTCACTGTAAGCAAAAAGAGAAAAGGTGGGTGGGCTTAAAGGTAATTAGCCTTTAATGTTATAATTGTTGTTTGTATATAACATTAATCTGGGGTTGTATATTTTTTAGTTGCTGTGCACATATTTTTTGTCTTTGATTTTTGCTATGATCACAGAGGACCAATAAATTGGTTTAGCTGTTTTTATATTTTCAGTTACAGTAATATATATTTTTTGCTATTCTTTTTTGTTATGAATTATTGCTTTTTTGTTATGAATGTCCTTTTAATGTGTCTGCTTTTATTGCTCTAATATGTTGTCTTTTTTGATTTAAGACTTGTTAATTGCAATATTGAGATATTACATGTTTGGATAGCAGAAGTAAATCACTTTAAGCCTTATTGCCTACTTCCTGTGTTCTGATTATCTCTAGCTTGTATCGTTCCCAGCTTTTGTCTGTGTAAATATTAAATTCTTGGTGGCATATAGAATGCTGATGTGATTTCTGAATTGATAAAAAGCTTGACTATGTCCAACCTGACCCAATCACAACACAACTTTTTGTTCACCTTTTATGATACACTTGTCTGCAAACCCTGCCTGCTCTGTATTGTTCACAGCTTGTATCCCTGTAAATATATATTAGGCTGTATACATTGTTACTGTTCTGCATTATTTTATTTGTTAAATAACTTTGCAAATCTTAAAATTCAAAATGGCATCTCAGTGTTAAAAGAAAACACATGAGCCTAAATGTGGCCTAAAAAATTCATGCTGAGAAATAGGAACAAAATGTTTCAGTTGTGTGTGTTTGTGAAATTTATAGCAGAAACAAAAAAGTATAAAATTAAAAGCCAAACTGCAACTGCTTTTATAATAATACACTTTCAATAGCTAGAAATTGTTGTTCTGCAGTAGCAAGTAGAAAACATGAAATTTGTACAATATAAAAACTTAGAATGGTTGTTAGCAAATCAAGAGGAACAGGCATGAATGCGAGATGTGGAAACCAGAAATTTAAATATCTGGGAAGTGTTTTAACAGATGACAGAAAATATGACACAGAAATCAGAATCTGAATTAGAATAGTGAAAGATGCTTTCCAAATGCTAAACAAAGTATTAAGAAACAGGAAAATTTTGTTAGAAACAAAGAAAAACATGCTGAACAATGCCAATTCTCCTATATGGTAGTGAATGCTGGACAATTTCTTCATCAATGAAGAGGAGACTTGAGGCCACAGAAATATGGTTCTGCAGAAGAATGCTGAGAATGCCATGGATGGAACATGTGAGCAATGAGGAAGTCTTAAGGAAAATGTAAACAAAAAGACACTTGTATTTTGAAACTGAAAGAGATAGCTGAAATTTCTGGGACATGTAATGAAGAAGAAGGGCTTCAAGAATTTGACACCTACAGGATATGCTGAAGGCAAAAGAGGCAGAAGGAAAGAGTTAACAACCTACTAAACAAACCTGTGTAAATGGATGGCAGAACTGGGAGTGGGACTGATTGATTTGTGTTTTTATGACTTATCAACCTTTTGTGAATTATTTAAAACAAAAACATTTGTATATTGTAAGAATAACCCTATTTTTGCAAGCAAATATTGCATTCATTTCTTTTGAAAATAACAATGATTTTTCCAGATACAAGCCATACTATTTAACCATAGGATGGGGAGATGGATTGTAACTTTCCAAAGGGTATTTGCACATTTGTAAATGTAACCAACCTGACTGAAATTTGATCTTGGCTCTTCAACTTTCTTATTCTGAGTTGTTATCCATTGCACCACCTGCACATCCCTAGAAGTGGTAAGGATATTAAAAAGAGAAACACTGCTAGAGCTACAAATCACTCACATCCTGAAGAGGCAAGTCCCATAAAAAAAGAGAAGAATAGCAGCTATATATAAAGTAGTATGTTCAACCTTCAACTTATAGATTTGAATTTAACAAACTTTCTGTATTAACAGAAACCCTCTTCAGTTTCATAGAGGGTTCACCATCTTGTATTAAATAGTTATGAACTGTTAAGCATTAACCTGAAAAAGATTTCATGAAAATGAATCAAAAGTTAAATTAGATAACTGTTTAGTTTCTGTTGATATACCAAGAACTTTAATGATGCTGATAGATTCTGGCAAGAAGAATTGTCTAGCATAACACAGTGAACCAACTTTCTTAGCTGTAAACTTAGCAATTGATGGTTTTAATCTTTCCACTTCATAAAAAGTAAGCTGCCAAATAAAATTTATCTTTTTTTATATTTAAATTTTGTTAGGATTTTTATGTTTCTATTGTTTTAAAGCTCATAATCACTTTCTAAATAATTTGATTTCTGGTAAGTGAATAATTATAAAACTTACACTTTATTTTTATTATATTTATTTTTATTAAACCCTCCAATGACAAAAGTAAGTACAAACGTTTCTTTGGTTATTCCAACTCTGCACAAGGCTATCATAGAAAATAAAATCTATGTTGTGTATAGTCAGATGATTTATCTTGTTGGTCTAGAAAAAAATTAAGAACAACACACACATCCTTTTGTTTCTGTATTATACTGTATGTTACTTATTTTTAATAAAATCATGGTTAATGGAATTGGTAAAAATGCACAACAAATAGAATTGAAAGAGTTTCCAATAAATAATAATAAACGAAAGAAAAAAAAACAGGGCAAAATAATATTAAGCAAATAATATATATGCAAGACAAAAATAGACAAAGCAAGAGTAATAAGACAAAAGGTTCATAAAGAAAGAAAGAATGGTATTCAGAAGCAATAGGGATACAGTAAAATGATTGTAGCGTTTTGACTTTAAGACAAGAAAGAACAAAAATATGGTGAATGATGTTGACCATGTTCACCATAGTCTATGAATATAGAATACAGCGTAGTACATAATCTGTTCAATGAAACAACGTTAAAGATTAACACTCACGAGTCAGACACTCTACTGAATCTGACTATATTGCCAATACCACCAGCAGCTGTTCTGTAATTTTTCAGTCTTTGATATCAAAGGCTGGCAGTGCATATTTGGGAAAAACATGGCCGCCTTTATACATGTCGCATTGAATATTTTGAGCCTTCTGATTGGTTAATCCTTCTATTGGTAAACTACAAAATGAGCCAGCTCATTTTGGCTGGTTCACTAGTAAACCAGGGTACCCCAAAATTCCAACAGATGAGACTGAGGATGGTTCATTTTTATTGGTTAGGAAAAAAATCACAGCATGCAACTGGGATTTGTTTATAAATTTAGGGTTTTGCAGTCATTTCTCATGCAGGATTGAAACCAAAAGAATCTAATCAGTTTTTCCCTCTTTTAGCTGAAAAAACAATTTAAATTGTGATTCAATATTTGAATACAACACCATAAAAAAATGAAATTGGAGGTACAACTGGTGCAAAGGCAAGCATCATAGAAAGTAGAATTGGTAAATCAGTATAGCTGCTCATAATACTGTAAACTTTGGTACAATGAATTATTGATATTGACTTTGTCTCAATTTTACAGTTGTCAATACAAATCTTGTTCTATATCAAAGGATGCATACATGTTGGACAAGTCAGACACTAGCTCAGCAGTTTTTTAAGTTAGTATTATTATTATCATTATTATTATTACTGTTTAGACCAATATATGCTCATCTTGGTTGTTATATTCATGTTTTAGTCATTGAACTTCTTTTATTGGTGTAACAATTATCAGTGAGGAAAATAGAATAGGTGGGATGATTCAAGTTCTGACCAGGGCTGTTGTGTGCAAAGCATATTAATACCCTCAGGAAAGGCATGAATCAAACTTTTCTCACTCCCCAAATCTAGTCCAATCTACCTGATAAATTTATCCCTAGATGGAAGAGACAAAAGATGGATTCATACCTTTCCCAAGGGAAATTTAGTGCAATGTTAATGTCACAGGCTCAATTATAATGCAACGACTGCAATTTTTGCCTGCCAATACCATTTTCTGGCTCAGTAACTGCTATGCCACTCACATATCCTTTATATTAGTACTGATACTTTTATATATATAAGTGAACATTGACGTCAGCACTCAGAGGTGACAGACTGTTTCATGCTTGACACAATCATCAGGCCACATGTATTGGGGTTTTCTCGATCATATATGGGTCAGTGGTGCATTGTGGGTAGTCCATTCTAATGGTTATTTTGGTGAGTGCTTTCTTTATTTGTTTGTTTATTTGGATTATTTTGCTTGTTTTTTTTTTTATTTATTTTTATTTTATATATATTATACTTTTCGGTTTTCAATGTTTTAGTAACCTAGTAAAAAATTTTAAAATTAGTTTTGATTGTTTATTTAATTGTTTGTTTTGGTCTGGGAAGGTAATTAAAGCTACGTTTTCGTCCACTTTTTGGATTGATTGTTATGGTCTATTCTAA